TCCTGATTGTAATATTCTACTGTTCCTTAAAGCTCAGATCAGCACAATCACAGTTTGAATATTGTCCAAAAGCAACTTTTGGTCGTTAATCAGTTGCCACAAATTTTAGTATTAGATGAAGCACCAAATAACATGTAACCAATAACATGTAACATGTTTAGATTGTACCAAAATCTCACTGACAATATGCCCTCTTCTAGAACAAGCTTCTCAGCAGAAATTAACAACAAAAAATCAGTCACTTTTTCTTCACTATGGGGCTGGTATATTTAACAAGGAGTGTAATGATTCACTTTATTCTGCTTCCAAAGCAAGTTGTCAACTCTAAGTTCCTGACATTCTGGTTTGAGCCAGACACTGACTGTTCTACCAGAAATCATTGTTTGATAAGTCCCAATGTCCTCTTCTGCCTGACTTTACTGAAATAAACCAGTGTCCAGTATGATAGCTAAGTGGCTGCTCAGATATAAAATCTTTCCTCTGGGTTAGAAAAGAGGACCTGTACTTAATCTCAGAATTCTCAGCTACAGGCAATTTCAGTGACACTTAGGTGGCATTTGTTGGAAGAGGGCACTGCAGGATTGCTGGGTGCCTGTGCTTCCTAAGAAAGGTCTGTGACGAAGCACAAAGTCCCTGGCTGTAACTGGTGGATAAAGACTGACCAATGAATCTGCATTGATTATTATCTTTTAAATTCAGCAGTATCTCTCGACTGTGCCAGGAACAGGACTGTGCCAGAACAGCCAGTCAGAGACAATTAAGACATAGTTCCTGTTTCTGAGGAGCTCATTGTTTAGCAGGGGACGCGAGTGCATGTAAAGGATGGATAGTACATATGAAATCACAATAGTGATAAATGCTGCAGCAGAACCAAGTTCAAAATGAAATGGAATCACTGAGTGTGTGAACAATTTCCAAGGGTGCTCAGAGAAGGCACCACAGAGACTATTTTTGCAGAACCTGGAACAATAAAAAGTTTTCCAGGAGGACAAAGGTTAGGGAGTTGTGGATGGAAAAGAAAAGGATGAGTATTCAAGGCAGGGAAAATCATCCATGCAAAGACGAAAAGAAGCCCAAGGAGAGCAGCCAGAGCCCAAGTGGGGATTGGCAGATAAGAATGGACAAGTAGGCTACTCTCAGACCAGGGCCTTGGGTACCATGCTGAGTGAAGATCCCATCAGGCAGATCATGGGAGGCGACGGGAGTAGGTCTGCTTAGGAAGGAGGAGGGTTTGGGGCAGTCAAGTGGCAGGAGAATATGTCATGAGTGGAGACTGTTGTGAAGGAGTGGCTGTCCCAGAGGCTGATAGGAACAGGGTGGGACAACTTGAGAGATAAGCAGGTGTTACTTGTGCCAAAACCCATCTCCTGGTGATTAACACCAGAGCAGTGGTCAGGGGGCCCAGATAAGCCCCTGGCCCTCGGAACCTCTCTCTAGATTATTTCCGCTCAAATTTAACACCTGGATCATCAGCCCACAGAGTGGGATTTCCTCTGGATGATGTGAAATGAACCCTTGGGCCGGCAGTCACGGGACAGCAATAGAGTATATATGTAAAGCTCAGTGGAGCCCAGGACTCGGGCTGCCTGGGTTTGAATCCTGGCTCTGCTGTCAGCATCCTGCTAGACAGGGATGGCAATAGCACCTACCTTGCAGGGTTGGTGTCAGAGTGAAGAGCTGATCCATGGAAAGTGCTTAGAACAGTGTGGAACACAGTGGGCTCTGGGCAAATGAGAGCTCTATGGAGTGTGCAGTTGCTCGGCCAGACCACGTGAAATGAAAGTTGCTCTGGTCAGAGGGGCTGGGGGTGGGGTCATGCTCCTTTTCCCTGCCCATTCTGTGAAGTAAGCCTTGATAGAACTTTTCTACCAGCTGGGAAAGTATTGGACTCCCCCTATTCCTGGGGTTAATTTCTACCTGTAATTCTCGAGCCAAGATGTTCAGGTAGGGTTAGCTGCTGATGCCAGACCTGGAACAGTCTCTGCATAGAGTCTCTATTTCTCCCAAGATAGCAAAGTGAGAAAGCCTGCGGAGTACTGGGTGAGTCACCCACCACCTAAAGGCGCTCGCTGGAAGGATAATCCAGCCCAGGTACATGCTCCCCAGCATCAGAAGCCATGCCCAGGGTCCTGCAGGTGGAGAGGGACCACTCTCTGAGATTCTCTGAATCTCACCCTCAGACACAGACAGCCTGTGCCCAGGAATAGGGTTTAGAAAGGTTTCCCTGAGGGGAAAAAAAACCCACCTGTCCAACAGAATAGGAAGCAGTCATCCTTTCCTGCTACATGGAGTGACCTGGAATAAAATTCTACCTCAACAGGACTGTTAGGAAGAATAAATGAGTTCATGCAAGTACTTAGCACATATTAAGTGTGCAATGAACCTCCGCTTAGTACTGTTATCTTTAGGCTATAATCCCAATTCTTCTTATACCTATTAAAGTAGGTATGGTGTTCAGTGGGCTGAGTGGATGTTCAGAGCCCAATAAATATACAGAACTGCAACAACAACAACAAATTCTCTCCGAGAAAATTCTCTGTATCTTCATAGTTTGAGTAGATAAACAATACTTCCCACATTATGAGACACTACATAAATAATGTAAAAATTAATCCTTTCTAGTTTGGTTCAAGGTCACTGTTGTCATTTTAGAGCCTACAATTTCTACGCAGCCAGACCCTGCAGGAATCCCAGCAGCGTTTGCTGATTTGGCATCCACCCATCACTGAGTGTCATGCAGGTGAGGATCTTTTCAGAGAACCCTAACAAGTGAGATTTTATCACAGCATTACTGACCCCCAAACAAGACAGGGGCAGTTCTAGAAGCACTCCTTGGCTTCCATTAATAAAGGTTAGCTGTTACATTAGGCAGACCAGTATACTCTGGGGAGTAACTAGTATCTTATTAAGTTATAAATACATTTAATGGCTTCAGTACTGGTTTCTTATTTTGGAATATGAAGAAGAAAAAACAGAACTCATAATCATTAGAGTCTAAGTATAATGCCACTATTTTTTATAACATATTTACCTATAATACTGCTTATGAACTACCTTGTTTTTCTAGAGCCCACATACTCCCTCAAAGGACACTGTGACTCTCCTGTAATTGTAGCAGGCCACAAGAAAGTGGTAGATTATAAAATCACATTACTTGGTTTTGATTCAAACGAGTCAGACCAGTTCAGAGTAAGACTGAGACTTCCTTCCCCACTCTCAGTCCCCTTCTGGTTTCTCATTAAGGGGAAAAAAAAATGCCGTCCGTGCCCATCTCCATTCACTGAACTCTGAACATAACGCTAACCAAGTTTTCTTATAAAGGGCACAGAGTTCTTATCTTTCACTTTCTGCACAGAGAAAGATCATACTTAAAATCATTTACCAAATAATAAATGACTGTTACATTAAGCTCAAGCTTACCTCATTTCCTGTTGCTGACCTGCTAGCTGGTCCATTGACTGTGGGCAAACTCTAGAGCTGTGTACCCTCCAAGATGCCCAGGCATGGAGACTGTCTCAAGGAACACTCCGGTGGTTTGGTGGGAAGCGGTCCCTGAAGTGACTATGAGGAAATCTAAATAAACTGCACAGGTGTTATATGCTCCATCTGGGTTACACCCCTCACATCCCACCCCCCTTCTGTTCCCAAATACAAACGAACCACTTCCATCTTTTGCTTTCTCCTGATAAGGAACACAGTGCTTCTCATCTTCACACCCCAGAGGTCTCCGCCCCTGCGGGAGCTGTGTGAGAAAGCCTACTCCCCAGGTGGGCTGGACTGCTGGTAAGCAGGGGCCTCAATGGGGGTCAGGGGGTCACCATGCCACAGGGCCTGAGCTGTTTGCCCTTGGTTAGCGCTGACAGGCCCCACCTCAAAAAGGGCTAGAAATGGTTCTTCTGGACTTCTTCCCACACAGAGAATGGCTAAGCTATCTAAGGCAATCTGTAGTTGGCTTTAAAATCAGCAATGGGGAGGGGAAAAGAAACCTCACAACAAACAGTGGTAACAGAAGGTTTGTGTGGGAAGACGGTTAAGTTTGGTCTAAAACAAGCAGTGTCTCTGGTAATGAGCTGTTGTTAGGAAATACGTGGGCCCCCTCAGTGCCTGCAGCACTTTTAAAGAGCACGGTTGCCGTTTCTTGAGGGTTTTTTCGGGGGGGGTGAGTGGGGGAAGGCACAGTGAGGTGAGGGAAAGACCCAACTAAAGAGCAGGGAGCATTACAGAGCACTGGAAAGAAGCACCTCCAAGTGTGGCAGCCATGAATCCCAGTTCCACTCTGCAGCCACTGTTCCACCGTAACACGTCTACCTTCTCTCGGGCACAACAGGCTCATACGTGAAATGAGTGTACCTAAAGAATCAGCCAGGGTCTTGGTGTGAAACAAAGGGCACACTCAGCTGGGGTGCCTGAGTTTCATAAAGGGGCTATTTATAAAGGGTGTGGGCAGGGTTAGGGAACTTCTGTGAGGACAGTGAAGCAAAACAGGGAGTCAGGACCAATCCTCTGCTGGCTAGGACAAGGAGAGGGTGTGGTCACCAAACCCTGAAGCTGTCAGACAGGAGCTGTGGCCTTAGGCAGAGGAGCCCCGCCACTGTCAACCCACACCTGGCAGAAAGGAGCCAGGGGAATGAATTCACCAACTGCTTCACCTCTAATCCGCCAAGCTCCTTCCAGAGCATCTCTGGTGGACCCTGACCAGAAGACCAGATAGATCTGCAGAGGCCAACCTCCAGAGCGAAGTACAGACTAAGGAGGGGATCTGTAGGAGCCAATAGAATATCTAGCACACCTAGGTACCTGATAGAGCTGGTGGGAGGTTAAAATGAGATAATCATCATAAATGCCTGACGCAGCAAATGCTCACTCACTACCAATTTGGTCAGACTATCCATTTGGCATTTACTTATCAAAAGGCCACAACCTAAGTTTTATTCTCAGGGGGCAAAAGCCAGGATGAAAACAAAGACATGTGGTCATATAACCAGAGTGAAAAACAAAACTTTTACAAAGTTGACGGATAACATTTATTAAAACATGTCATACAAAAGGGCATGGTCTCTTCTATAAGAAGAAAATATTAAACAGTAACATTCAATTAAGTAAAACCATGCTGTACACTGAAGACAGCAATATATAAAGACAAAACTATTCAACTTTTGCAACACAGGCATAACATTTCACAAAATATCAATAAGATATGCACCTAATGATAATCTGTTTATCATCAAATGGTTTTGTGGTCTAAGAGTCACCTGACTTGCATAAATAAAGTAATTTTCTGGAAGAAACATTGGGAACCTCATAAAAGGAAAGAAGGCAGCAGCAACTGACATAATAGGACACAGGCTTCAAGCAACACTAAAAAAAAAAAAAAGTCACATTTGCAAAACGTGTTCCAGCATCTTCCCATTGGGCACTATCAGTAGAAATTTGAAATAAGAAACATGTACCTTTAAATATATAAGTAGCAAAGAAAAAAACCCAAACAAACAAACCCTGGTTTTACTCAACAAAGTTAGCGACCCATGAAAGCAATTAAATCACAAAATTAGTGTGGCACAGATGGAGGTTTGGGGAAGGGCGTAAATATGCTGCTTGGTTTCCAGCATTCCTAAATGAGACCTTTACAAAGACAAACTCCTGGATTTGGTGTGATGAAGCCCTCCCCACCCTCGTGCAGGGGGCTGCAGCAAATCCCCCTCCCCAGGACAAACACAACTGAGCTGCTTCTGCTCCGCCCCCATGTCACTTAGGCAGCAGTTTGGGGATGCACGTGCCTCTGCAGGAAAGGGTCACTGAGACCAAGCAGCTCTCCCAAACAGCTAGAAGCTAGCGCCGGGTCAGTTTGGTTCAGCAAACGGCCACTAGAATGGAGAAGACCCTTTTGGGTAGACTCTCTGAAAGCCGTGGCCTACAGAAGGGATTAGAGGAAGGTGAGATCTAGAAATCAGAATCAATAGGCTGGGGCCCGGGAGCGCCTGAGGGTAACCCTCAGCACGTGAGGAAAGGCTACCGCAGTCCTTCCCTAGATGGCGATCCCTACTTGACCAAGTGGATTGTTGTAATGTGTAGATCTAAAATTAAAGGCACGGTATAAATACTAATGTTAAATACCACTGATGGTGCCTTGAAGCCCTTTCCCACTGGGACTGGAGAAGAACCACAGTTAAGCCTCAAAGTAGGGGACAAATACCTTGGTTGTGGGCCATCAACACGATCCCTGAAAGACTGTTTGGAAAATGTTACCCACAACTATCCAAACTCATTTGGAAGGATAAAGATTTTCTAAAGCTGAACTGAGGCTACAGAGAGAGACTATCCAACCCAGAGTGGGCAGGAGAGAAAAGGTAGTAATCCAGTACAATCTCCTAATCCTAAAAAGCAAAGTTTATAAAAATTCACTTTCACTATCCAAACTAAGGCAATCTCTGTCCCCCACTTCTCTGAACATGGCCAGCATTTCAGATGCCCAACCACCTCGCAGGGTCTAACTGACCCGATTAGCAACTCGAATTTTAAAGGAAACCCCAACTACTATAAACAACTTAAAACAGCAGATGTGAGGAACTTACACTTTTAAATTCTATACTTAGCTTCTTAGGATTTCGATAAAAGACACCTTTCTTCACAACACATGAGGTAAGTCCCAGCACAACTGACTACTTCCCAAATTGCCACCCAGGGCTGCCCACCACTCCTGGCTGAACAAGAGTTCTTCAACATTACTCATAACAAAGGTGCTGTCCTAATTTCTGCGTAACTGAAGAACCGTGATTTTTCTAGAGTATTTTGATTTTACTTCTCAGACTCTTCTCCCAAAATGTCCCAATGCTCATTTGAATATAATCTTTAATGGGAAACCCACATCAAACCTTCCAAATCCTTAGAAAATGATATGCTAATACCATGGGAGAGGGTGATCAGCTTTTGGCAGAACAAAATGGCTTCACTGCCTTGGTACTGAAATCAGTAGGAATAAAAAAAGAATTTCTTCTCACACATAATGGCTAGGATCATCCCTAAAACCCATTGGCTTCTAACATGAAAAAACAAAAGAGAAGGAGCAATTGAGCTCTGCTTGCACAGTCACCTCTATACACATCTGTCAGGTATGCAGAGAAAGGACTGTTAACCGGTGAAATTTTGACACAAAGAGGGTATTAATGTGGCAAACAACCAAGAGGTAATATCTAGTTTCTAGGTTAAAAAAATCAATATATATATATATATATATTTATAATAAAGTTTTAAATACAAAGTGCTTTTTATATATCGAGAATGATACAGTGTTAATGAATAGATCCCTGTTTTGTAATGTAGACTGCAAGAGTTAACTGGTAAATAAGTACTTTCTTTCCCCTTTCCAGACAACGTTCAACAAGTAGATGCCTTTGTGGTTGGAGCTTGAGGACCAGAGGCCATTGCCAGCAATGTCTATCACACTGGAGCAAAGCCCAACTTTTGAAACAAAATTTCACCTCAAATCCAGGAAGAGTTATTTTTTATTTTAAGGAAAAAAGTTTCCACTTGGAAGTAAAAGACCAGTAATTTGTGGAAAAGCTGACATAAGAGTAGCACCCTGTCCTACCCTGGTGAGAACTTCAGGTACCTGACGCAGCTTGAAAGCATCCCGAATAGAGGCTTCCTTTTTAACCTAAAACATCTGCCCGAGCTGCAGAAAAGGTCGAAAAGAACAGCTGCTTTTCTTGCTGGTTTCTGGTGCGTACAGCTACGTGGACTTGTAAATTTATGCAGCTTTACCTAGAATTTGGGAGCATGAAATCTGTAGACTACTTTCTAAAATTAGGATTCCTTCTTTCCCCCTTTGAAAACACATTCCGGCACTCCTAAAGAACTGGCAGCATTAGCTCAGCGTGCCCCGCTAAGACTACCTCCCCCACCAGTGTATTTTCAAGACTCCTTTTGCTTGGGCAGTTGTTTTCTTCTGCCGCTCAAAATTCTGCTACTCAGCAACTCTCACTGACAGTTGGGAGTGTCACTGTATTCCCTCCATAAACTTCCGCGCACAGGTAACTCTCAGCCATGACTTCTGGCTCGTTCCCACTAACTGTGCTCACTGACTGACCTCATGAAGCATCATGATCTGAGAGAGAAACGGCTGCAGCAGCCAATGGTACCATGGCCAGAGTCAAAGCAGGCTAGACGCCTACTAGCCACAGAGCAGATCCCACTGTGTGGATGCTATAATTAAACAGGATTTGGGACAGCAAACCAATTAGAAATACCTATCTCTGGCACCCTAGAGAATTACAATGAGATACAATTGTCCAAACTAAATGTTAGTACTAAAATACAAAACTTTGCCTTATCAAGAGTCTGAAACACATCGTGACAGTGGCGTCTTAACAGAAATTGAAGCTTGTACCGTAAGTTATTTGTTTTATACTTAGAACATCACCCTCTTAGCATCTCCATAGTTTTTAGTTAAAATACCCTTTAGAGAAAATAAAACCAGAGAGCTGTTAATCACTTTCGCATCCTAGGGATCACATTATTTGTAGCTTTTACATTAAGTAGCATTTCATTCAGTGAGGCAGCTACCAAAACAAATCCACATTACCTAAGTTATCTATGGTGAGAGCTAAATAAAATCCCAACATGACCTTGTAACGAGTGATCAAAATCTGCTGCCACCTGAAACAGAACTGGTAGGCTGGAGTCCAGTTCCAAGTGCAGGTGTCTCGATCACCAAGTCCACCTGCCTCCATCACAACAACGGGCCTGAAGTTTTACCTCGCCAGCTGGGAGGTGGGTTAACTTCTCCCCATTACCCACTCCAGGCCTGGACAGGAACATACAAATTTGAGGAATTAGATTTTTAAATTGGCCTACTTAGAGCTGGTCTTTCAGAAATATCTTCCATTTTTTTTTAAGCTCCTCTCATAATAGCAAGTAGCACGCATCATCTGTGCCCAGATTTGCATAATTACCATAGTTTATTTTTGTGCCTGCCACTCAAGGGCCAGATCCTATTTTTAGTTAGCCTCAGTCGTATTCTGCTCAGCCTTTGCAGCTTCGTAGGACTTGGTACAAGAAGTCACATGCCTGTGGAAACTGTCCCTCCACATAAATCTCTTTGCACAGATATTACACTCATACGGCTTTATGCCTGTATGAATTTTCATGTGGCCCACAAGATGATGCTTCATTTTGAATTTCTTACCACAGACACCACAGCCATAAGGCCGAAGACCGAGGTGCATGCTCATGTGTCGATCTCTCTGACTCTTGTGAGTGAAACTTTTCCCACACTGACAAGGATACAGCTTGTCAGTGGCTGAGAATCCTAAATGGGAAGCTTCTTCTTTAATCCCTGTTACCATTTCAATATTCTCACTGTAGCCTGATGCTAGGGCAGCCTCCTGTCTGTGCCCAATTAGATTCCCATCTGACCTCTCTCCAGAAAACTCTTCCATGGAAGAGCCATAGAAATCCACCTGCTCATCATAATTGCTTTCATCAGCCTGTTCATCAAACTCTGCTTCCACTTTTTTTTCCCCGACATGAAAGTCTTCCTCTACTCCTGAAGGCTGGACCGAGTGCTCTGTCTGCATGGTATTGATGGATTCAGTGACCTGGTGCTCATCATAGGGTGCGTGCACATCCATGCCCTCACATGCCTGTTCAAAGCGCTCAGGCTTCACGTGGATCCAGCGTTTGTGAGCCATTATGCTGGGCTTGCTGTACATGGGCCGGGTGTAGTGGAACTCGGCACTGTCGCTGGCCCCCTCCTCCCCATCCTGGCTCGCCATTTCCGTGCTCAGCCGGTCATGCTCTGTGGACGAGTTACTGGGAAGGTATTCGTGCTCAGTGAGCTGAGATGACAGCTCGTCTTTGGTGCTCTCCTCTTCATTCTCTCCATCCCTCAGTTCTTGGGCTTTGGGGAAATCAGCATGGCCCCCAGAGCCCAGCTCAAAGCTCTCTACCAGGCCATTGTAACTACTGCTGCTTGGAGACTGGTGGTCACTGCCATGATTTAGCTTCTGACAAAGGACTGTAGGGTTTCCCTCTAAAACCTCAGTGCATTTGTCTACCACATGCCACATCTGGAGGAAGCTTGCTGCTGTTAAGTAACTAACAATTTCTGGAGCAGGCATGACTAGACGTCCTGTGTAACTAGATAAGAGAATGTTCTCAAATACCCTTGGGTTCATCACATCAGGTAAAACAATCCTCCTGCTGTTTTTCAGGAGTACCTGGTCACAAAAGTAGGGTGAACTGGCAGCAAGAACAGCTTTATGTGCCCGGAAAATGTGGCCTTGGACAACAATGGAGACATCACATAATTGTCCTTGCTGGCGCTGCTGGTTCAGTTTCTGCAGAATGGTGCTGGAAAAATCAGGAAATTCTACTCGAAAAGAGTTTGTTCCAGGCTCCATTTCATCACAAATCTTGTTCAGTGCTACAAGAGAAAGAAAAATTAGTCCTAATTCCAGCCCAAAGAGAAACTTACAGATCACTAAGAAAACTGAGACAAGTTCCATAGTTCCATCAAGTCCCCTTGCCTGTGGGCACTAGTGGGCAGAGCATTCATCCCCCAGAGCAAGACTTGCAGGTGTGAGTATGCCAGAAACAGGAACCACCCACCACTCTTCATGGTATTAACTCTTGATTTTGCCTGTCTGTGAATGAGAGAATAGAATCCACAGAGATGGATCTGTAAGCTTTATGAATCTCCTAAATAAAACAAAGTAAATATTTCTAGTCCAAACAAACACAGTACCTATCCAAATGACAGAATTTTTAAGAGACCTCAGATTCGATCCACATTTGCCAAGTTGGGGTGAGAAAGTGAGGATGGAATTGTGAGAAGGAAAAACTATGCAAAGGTTCTGAGACAAGAATGAACTCAGCAACTGTACGGAACTGCAAGACCATTAGGCTATACACCAGCCTGGGAGTGAGGGGAAATGGGGCTGAAGCGGCCAGAACAATCCTGCCTTTGGTCCTTCAGCACCACAGGGGCAAACTCACCGAAGCCCCAAACAACGTGAGTTTCTCTGGTGGCCATCAGAATTTTAGCCCTGTAGGAGCTTCTGATATGAAGCAGAATTAAATGGGAAGACAAGGTATTCCTTCTATCTGATGGTCTCCAAGTTGTTTATAGACCAAAGAGCATAGTAAATATTGTCCCTGTTACTAAATGAACTCAATCCGAAGATAAAGCTATAACAAAGAACAAAGGATTGCCTGCGTTGTTACTGTAAATATATTTTGTGGGGTAGTCAAGCATTAGAGAAAATTTCAAACAGCAACAATTAACAAGATAAACTCCGTTAGAGATCCTGCTCATACCCCATAATTCCATAGTAAATTAAAATAAACCAGTAAACCCAAGACATTTATTGGCACTGTCACCTGGCTCTAATACTATATCCAAACATTGTTAAATGCCAGATTTTCGGGGCACCTGGGTGGCTCAGTCGTTAAGCGTCTGCCTTCAGCTCAGGTCATGATCCCAAGGTCCTGGGATCGAGCCCCACATCGGGCTCCCTGCTCAGCAGGAAGCCTGCTTCTCCCTCACCCACTCCCCCTGCTTGTGTTCCTTCTCTCGCTGTGTCTCTCTCTGTCAAATAAATAAATACAATCTTTTAAAAAAGAAAAAAAGGTGTACAGTCCCTGCTATATAGTAATTACTCGAGACACATTAGTTTCTTTTCTTGGTCTTTCTCCCTATCTCTCAAAGATGACTTTCAATCTTTGGTTTTGTTTGTTTTTTTTTAATCTCATACTTAGAAAATCTGGCATTTTTTTTTTAAGATTTTATTAAAGAAATAAATAATTTATTTGACAGAGAGACAGTGAGAGAGGGAACACAAGCAGTGGGAGTGGGAGAGGGAGAAGCAGGCTTCCTGCTGAGCAGAGAGCCCAATGTGGGGCTCAATCCCAGGACCTTGGGATCATGACCTGAGCTGAAGGCAAACGCTTAATGACTGAGGCATCCAGGCGTCCCTGAACACCTTGTTTTCACTTAATCTTTATAATGACTCTGCAAATGTGGAGACTGATATTATCAGGTTTGGCTATTTCAAGTAACTTTCCCAAGGTTAAAATAAGAGCTAATTTTTATTAAATTGGGATTTGATTCTAGGTCTCTATGACTTCAAAGCCTATGCTATCTTTCCTATAACATCATTCTGCCTCTTCTAGGAAGATGCCAAAATACCAGGTTATTCATTAATAAATTCTGGAGGTAAGATAAGTGTTTTTAGAAAAAGCATTAATTTATGGCTATACCTCTTAAAACATTTCATGATAATTTAAAACAAAAATAGACTAGGAAATAAACTATTCAGGTATTTGCAATTTCAAAACGAGAAGTTTAGTAGTATATAAACGTAAGACTTAGAAGTATGGAAATTCTGAGAACTATATCTGGGTAAATAGATTCTCTACTAGATCACATCACTGTAGAATTTGGGTTTTAGCTATTTGAAAAAAAGGGGGGGAATAATACACATGTAAAGGCATTTAAAGAAAGTTGTTTAAAAAAAAAAACCCAAAATTCTTCACCATTTATTCCTATTCCCCCTCCCAAAGAAAATCACCATTAACAAACTCATATTTTTTTTTTTTTAAGATTTTATTTATTTCTGTGACAGAGAGACACAGCCAAAGAGGGAACACAAGCAGGACGAGTGGGAGAGGGAGAAGCAGGCTTCCCGCGGAGCGGGGAGCCAGCCTGATGTGGGGCTCGATCCCAGAACCCTGGGATCATGACCTGAGCCGAAGGCAGACGCTTAACGACTGAGCCACCCAGGCGCCCCAACAAACTCATATATTTCTAGAAACTTCTATGTGCATATATCAGAATAAATCATATATAGCCTTAAAAATCCTTACCCAAATGGGTTCATTACCTACATTTTAAAAAATTATTATTGTTATGTTAATCACCATACATTGCATCATTCGTTTTTGATGTAGTGTTCCATGATTCATTGTTTGAGCATAACACCCAGTGCTCCATGCAGAACGTGCCCTTTTTAATACCCATCACCAGGCTAACCCATCCCCCACCCCCCTCCCCTCTAGAACCCTCAGGTTGTTTCTCAGAGTCCAGTCTCACATGGTTCATCTCCCCCTCCGATTCCCCCCCTTCATTCTTCCCCTCCTGCTATCTTCTTCTTCTTTTTTTTAACATATAATGTATTATTTGTTTCAGACATTACCTACATTTTATTCTGAATTTAGCTTTTGTCACTTAATAGATCTTGTAGAACTTCTGACATCGTATAGACTGATTGTGTCCCCCCAAATTCATGTTGAAACCTATTCCCTCGGGGTGCCTGGGTGGCTCAGTCATTAAGCATCTGCCTTTGGCTCAGGTCATGATCCCAGGGTCCTGGGATAGAGCCCTGCAGCGGGCTCCCTGCTCAGTGGGAAGCCTGCTTCTCCCTCCCCAACTCCCCCTGCTTGTGTTCCCTCTCTCGCTGTGTCTCTGTCAAATAAAATCTTAAAAAAAACACAAAACAACCTATTCCCGCGATGTGATAGTATTTGGAGGAGGGTTTTTAGGTGGTGATGAGGTCACAAGGGCAGAGTCCTTATAAAAGAGACACTAGGGGCACCTGGCTGGCTCAGTTGGTACAGTATGTGACTCAATCTCAGGGCTGAGTTGAGTTCGAGCCCCACATTGAGCATAGAGTTTACTTAATAAAAAAAATTAGAAAATCAAAAGAGACACAGAGACTACTTTGCCTTTTTGGCCATGTAAAGACACATGGAAAAGACAAGCTATCTATGAACGAGGGAGTGGGTCCTCCCTAGACACAGAATCTACAAGCGCTTTGACCTTGGACTTCTTAGCCTCCAGAACTCTGAGAAATAAATTTCTGTTGTTTATAAGCCACCAGTCTATGGTATTTTGTTACAGTAGCCCAAATGGACTAATGTATCACATTAGCACAGAAAGAGCTAATTCAGTTCTGTTTAATGACTATATACCTCCTGCTATATGGACATATCCTAATTTAAGCAGCTCTATTCTTACAGAATTTCAAATGTCTGGGCTTTTGAAATTATGAGCAATGCTATTGTAATATACACAATATAATTATACACCTACGCATAAGTATCCTGGCATATCTTTGGAAATATCTATAAGGTAATCTCTACCAATGGAACTGCTGGGTCAAGGGCTGTGCATTTGACATTCTGATGTGTATTACACCAAGGTACTTTCCAGAAAGGTTGCACCAAGACACACTCCTACCAACAATAAACAACAGTGTCTACTCCTCCACACTCTTAACAACACCAGACATTATCAAACCAGAAAGAAAAAGTTTGCAAATCTCCTAAATTAATAATCCATGATTCATTGTGGTTTTGATCAACATTTCTTTAATTATGAATGAGAATGATATTCTTTATTCATGTTTACTGTCATTTGTTTTTCCTATAAATTATCAGTCATATTCTTTGCTCAAATAAATTGGGCAATTCATCTTACTGATTTGTAGTTTTTTTTATAAATGCAGGAAATTAACTTTGAAATGTATACAAATTACCAATCTTTGCTTTTATGGCTCCAGGGTTTTGTATTAGACATAGAAAGGCATTCCCAACTCCAAGATTATTTTTAAAAAGTAAAAAGAATTAGTTTTTTCCTCCTGGTATTATTTTTTTAAACAGCATTTAAATGTTTAATACACAAAGAGTTTGTTTTGGCATAAGGAGTAATGTTGGGATCCAGCCCTTTTCCCTCCAAAATGTCTAGCCTATTTTTCCAACACTGTTACTGAATACTAATCTTTTCCTCAAAATTTCAAGTATCTTTTATGGAATCTTAAGTGACTGAGAACAAGACTTTTAAATACAGTTCTACGAAAATCAATGTCATAAGTGGTATAGAGGAAATGGTGGAATAGGAAGCTCTAGGGATCAGTCCCTCCACCAAAACAACCAGTAAACTGTTGAATAATCAGAATCAACTATTTCAGAACTCTGGAATCTGATCAGACGCTTGTAGCAACCAAGACAATGCCGGCTGAAGAGAGAGGCTGTTGGTCCTCACTAAGAGCTATATGCATAAATCAACTATAATCCCCATTCCTTACCCCCGCACCACCCTGTGGGATAGTGGCCCACATTCCTAAAGTGGCTGGCTCATGCCAGGGAGGACAACAAGGATTACGTCCTTCAAAAGCTGGGGGGTTTGCATTCTGGCCAGTATAGTGGATCCACACAGCTTTGTTTTGGCCTGCTCAAGCTGCAGTGGCTTCCCCAGCAGCATTGATCATTAATTTTTTTTTTTTATCATAAGATTTCAAAAAGATAAACACACTCCCCTGCCCATCCACCCCCAGGACCTGGGTCAAAGTATTTAAGGAAATCTGTCATGTCACAGGTTGACCACATAATGAAACTTCAGTGACTAAAAGCAACAAGGTGATATAA